TTTTTCCTGTTTGTCAGTTCTTTACCAACAAATTTTCAGAGCAGTAAAGAAAAAGTGGAATGATGGAGTGGGAAAAGCAACCGCCGCGGGCGGCGGAGGAGGCCGGCGGCGGCGGCGGCGGCGGCGTCTGTGGGGGCGGGATGTTTGTGAAGGTGATGACCGACGAGCAAATGGAGGTGCTCAGGAAGCAGATAGCGGTTTACGCCACCATTTGCGAGGAGCTCGTCGAGCTACACAAATCCCTCACCTCCCAGAACGATCTTGCCGGTGGGTTTTGTGTTCCGCAATTTTTTATTTTTTATTTTTTTATTTTTTATTTTTTTTTTTAAAAAAGATTCCTTTTTTAAGGTGGATTATAACTTTGTTTGTGACTATGTTTTGGGTTTATGTTCTTGTCTTAAGGGCTGCTTTGCTCTGCTCTTATGATGTTTGTTGATTGAAATTTACTGTTGGGACTAACTGATAGCTATTCATACCATCGTACGATGATCTTTAGAACTGTTTTAATGTCTTCCCTTAGAACCATCTGCATAATTAGTGGTGCAATTAATTATGGTTAATCTCTGGCAGTGGTGATTGGCAATAACTGCTTGTGGATGTCGGCTTGAAGGATCAATTTTGTTTCGATTTTCGATATTTTTGTGTTTTTTATTTGTTGGGCTTGAATATTTCGACCCTGTCATGCTCAGCCTTCATTCTTTATGGAGAAAAGGTGTAGTTCGTGTAAGTGGAAGGCAAATAGAGTATGCATCTTATCAAATAGATCACCACTACACAGTGTTATTGTTGCTTGTTGATGTTCGCAAACACTCGTCGTCGGAAAAAGAATCTATTCACAACTTTTCAGCTCGATTAAAAATTGAAATCCACATTTTGGTGTCTGCAAATGTGATTTTATTTCATTTGAACCGAACCCGGAAGGTGAAGGAAGGGGTTCGATTAGTTTCATCATTTATCGCTTGATGAACTTCCCTAGCAAACGTCTCCCCTTTCAACTCGATCAATTTTCAGCGTCCATTTGCAAACACTGCCTCCTTCCGATTTCCCCATAGTGTATAAATGCTCATATCTTACACAAATAATAGTTCATCTATTGATTGCTCTTCTTATATAGTCTTTCTTTTTCTTTTCCCTGCAAGAAAAGTAATTTATTAATAACAAATGTGCCAAAGTTTACGCACACTTTTATAAGTTAAAAATAAAAAAAGTCGAACTTTTGCTTCTCTCAATCAGGTGTGAGGCTGGGGAACCTGTACTGCGACCCCTTGATAGCCAGCGGGGCCCACAAGATCAGCGGGCGGCAACGCTGGACCCCAACCCCAATGCAGCTCCAGATCCTTGAACGCATATTCGACCAGGGGATTGGGACCCCGAGCAAGCAGAAGATCAAGGAGATAACGGCCGAGCTGTCCCAGCACGGTCAGATATCCGAGACCAATGTCTACAACTGGTTCCAGAACAGGCGGGCCCGCTCCAAACGCAAGCAACAGTCGGCCCCATCTACCAACGAGTCTGAAGTCGACACTGAGGTTGAGTCCCCCAACGACAAGAAGACCAGGCATCCCGAGGACGAGTTCCAGCACGTGCTGCCCGCCAGGCCCAATCAGGAGCTCTGCTTCCAGAGCCCGCAGGCCCAACCCGTGGACCTGCACGCGGGGAAGCACGACTCTGCCTTGCCTCAGGAGTGCAGCTCCAAGTTCGGTGAGGCCATGAGCCAGATGTCGTTCTATGGGAGTATGTTGTCAAACACGAGTAAGTACTTACTTTGGTTCTGTTTTATTCTAGCCAGGTTTATTTCAATTTCCCATTTGAAAGAGTATCATGAAATCAGCACTTTTATTCATTTTTTAATATTTTTCCAATTAATATTCGTTTCGATTATGCTTTTGATTGGGTGAAATTGAAAAATTGCAGGAATGGACCAGTTCATGGGAAAGATGGAAGTACCAGGGAGCTATAGTCCTTATCTGCAGCAAGATGAGTACAGCATGGATGGTTGAGTATAATCTATAGTTTTTATAAAATATGTGGTTCTTTTTACAAATTAATATTCTAGTCTCAGCTGATAAAGCCGAATCGCTGGTGCTGATCGTCTCGTGTTCTTGGAGATTCGGAGCCCAAACATGAAGACCGAACTTATCCCGCTTGCAAATTATGTTGGTATTATTAACATATTACTCATTGGACATCTTCTTTCTTCCCTGTTTCGATCTCTCTGTCTTATTTCGGGTCTTCTTTTTCCTCGTTGGACAGCCGCAGTGTGTATCATATTATCTTTGAAAGATTTAACAATTTTCTAAGTTTGTAATGTTTTATAACAAGAAAAGCAGGATATGAAATGAAGATTATTCAAATGTTGTTCATGATGCTGCCAGATCTTGATACTTGAATATAACAACTGTAGCAAGTTTTTTGGAGTAAAAATATTCAGTGCATGCAAGAATTTACAACGGGTAGCCTTCGGCTACATTCGTGTGACATTTTAGTAAGCTCCTCAACGAAGCTAATTTATATTGTTATTGAATATTTATACAACTAACAAGTATATCCCAACTTAGAGCTGTAAACGAACCGAACGTTCGCGAACAAAAGCTCGTTTGAGCTCGTTCGTGCTTGATAAAAGCTCGTTCGTTTATTAATCGACCTGAGTTCGAATAGAAAATTAGGCTCGTTTAATAATCGAACGAACACGAGCTCGTTCGTGAACGTTCGATTATGTTCGCAAACAATGATTTAATATAATTTTATTTTATTATATAATATTTTTAATAAAAATCTAAAATTTAATATAATTTTATTTGTTTTTTTATATATTTACATAATATTTTTAATAAAAAATATAAAATATAAAAATATTTTATTTTATTTTTTTTAATTTTCGAGTTCCAACGAACAATTTCGAGTTAATCAAACATATTTAAAAAGTTTATGTATTAAATTATTCGAACACGAACGAACTCGAACTTTGACGAACAATTAAACGGACGAACTCAAACACGAATTTTTGTTCGAAAAATAAACGAACGAATACGAACATTGTTCGAACGTAAACGAACACGAGCTCGAACAACCCAAGCTCGGTTCGGTTTGATTCGTTTACAGCACTACCCCAACTTTCCTAAATGGGATATATAATTGATTTTTCTTAATATGGCAAGACAAATGAAAAGGCATGACCAGGGTGAGCAAAATCGAGACAAATTATGCAGTTCAGTGCACTTTAGTTAAACTAATTTTGTGTAGAAAATTATTGTTTATATTAGAATATAATACCATTTTGTAAGTTGTCCCACATCGTTTATACAAGGAAAATAAACTTAATTTATAAGCCTAATGGACTACTTCTTCCATCAATTATTTGGTTTTAGGATGTGACCTTACTTGGATTTCATCTAGACTTTTTCTGTCATGGTGTGTTTTATGTGCGTGGACAAACTTACAATAAACGAGGCTAAAGTTGTATTGCGGCATCACAATGCGACAGCGGTCTTCAATTTCTTATCTATTTTGTGGTCTCCATTTTTTATTTGTGATGTCAGAAGTAGAGGCTAAAGTTGCAAGGCTTTTCGAATTGGTACTCTATGAAAGTTGTTTTTAAATATTTCAGGGTGAAAATAGTGTTATTCACTTAACCATATAGCAGGGTTGAGTGTGGGTCGATACGGTTCGGATATTGATAAATCTCTCAAACTGTACCAAAGTTCGAAGATTCCAAAATTTGATTTTTGGAACCATACCAAAAAGTCGGTTCGGTTAGGAGATTTTTTTTTTCGGTTCAGTTCGGTTCGATATTCGGGATTATTGGGACGGTACGGTTCGGTATGACTTGGTTCAGATTTTCGGAGATTTTTTTTTTTTTAGATTTTTTTTGAATGACTACCTAGTTATATTTTAATTTTTATATGTTTTAAAAAAACAACATTCATCAATAATTCATGATATTGAATATTTTATTTTGAAATCAATTTTAGAAGACTCTAAATTTTAGTTATTTAATTTTTATATGCTTTAATAAAACCGATATTCATCAATACTTCCTCATATTAAAAATTTTATTTTGAAATCAATTTTAGAAGTAACTATAAGTTTTAGTTAAGACTAATTTGTGCAAGTAATATTGAAAATTTAAAATTCAAACAAAATATAATATTTTTCTAAAAAAATATTCTTTAACCTTTCATATTATTTTAAATAATTATTTTATAATAGAAAAAATTCAATTCTAGATCAAGTATTACTAAGCATGAAAGTTAAGTGAAGGTTAATAGTGATTATTACTATATTATATAGGATCAAAGGTGACATAAAATATATTAATAACACATCTAATGTTATAATTCAGTTCTTCGGTTCGGTACGGTATGTGACGGTTCAGTTCGGTTATCGGTTCGGATATTTGTGAAATCTCCAGAACCGTACCAATTATTTTTTCGATTCGGAGAAAGTCAAACGGTCAATGGTTATTTTTCGGTTCGGAGTGATTTCGGTTCAGTTTTCGGAACACTTCGAAATTTTTCGAGTCTCATGCTCAGCCTACCATATACATATATTGTCAATTCGAGTGACAAAAGCTAATTAGAACGGTTGACACTCGAGATGAGCTAGAAGAATACGGAGATGATTAATGCAACTAAATAGATATGAAACTCGGGTCGAAGAACCGAGAAAGAACGACGGGTCCTAAGAATAAAAATACTCGACCTGGAAGTGTTCGACCTGAAGAAACAACTGATCGAGGGATCGACTAACCCAAAAACAAGCATAATCAGGTTGGATGATTTGTATGGATCTGACGGAGACTCGAAGTGTTCCAAGTAAACGTTTTTCCAGTTCAAAGAAGGCATGTCAGTTCGACACACCTACAGGTCGAACTCGGGCCCTCGGGTGACCCGGCGGAGGCTCCACCTAAAAGTGGTCCTAGTCGTAGGATCGAACCGTGAGATAGTACACAAGATCCATAAGACAACGTACAATTGGGTTGTCAAACAAGAAACCCGACGCACGAGGATATATATTACTAGTCGGAAGGGCCGAGCTCAAGACTTGGCAAACATAATTGAGAGAGATTTATGCACAAAGACCTAAGTCGACACTCAGGTGACAAAGAAACCTTAGAATAGTGGCAACTTGCACCCACATCATTAATGACGGGACAAGTCTGACGAAAAGCATGAAAAATCTCAGTAGAGTCATGTGCAACATTAAATGTGTCAATTCCATTTAATGCACAATTGTACTGCTCGAAGAATAATACGGGCCTTACTATAATAATCTTAAGAATCCCTTGAAAAAGATTTCATAACAATCTTTGTAAGGAAGACATGTATTCCTTCATTTTAATACAGCCTTAAGGCAAATATATATCCGACCTCAAATTCACAAAATTACATCACACTTGTTTTTTTTGTTCATGAGACAAATTTTGACTAGTTCTTGCTCTACTTCATTCATCTCCGATGGCGCTCTTCCTTTTATTTTCACGCTCAACTCTTTAGCTCTATCCCTCATAGCCCCTCCAAATTCCTTCTCCACCAAGATTACTTTATTTATCGCCATCGCAAGCTCTTCTCCCGAGTAATAATAACTTCTATTTTCAGCCTTCTCAACCTCGACCGCAACACCTACCTCCACCAAGAGCCGGGTGTTTAACGGTTGCTCGAATTTCATCGGCATCGCTATAACCGGGACACCAAAGTACATGCTCTCCATTGCTCCGCTCGCCCCACAGTGACTCACGAAAGCCCCCACGCTCGGGTGGCTTAATATCTTGACCTGTGGGGCCCACCGATGAACGATCATTCCTCTACCTTTAGTTTCTTGTAGAAACCCTACCGGCAACTTTTCTTCTATGCCGACGGTTTTATCTTCTCCGGGAGGAAACCTCACGACCCATAAAAAGTTGGCCTTCGTAAGCATCAGCCCTTTTGCTATTTCTCAAATCTGCTCATCCGAAAGGAAGCACTCACTGCCGAACGAGATGTATACGGTAGAACCTTTGTTTTGCGTATTTAGCCACTCCACAATCTCCGAGCTTTGCTCTTCGTCCGGGTTCGGGATAAGTGGGCCGGTGAACATTATTCGTTTTCCGGACAGAACAGAAAGGTAATCCCTATGCTTCTCCTCGACCACTCTAGAGCCATTCATCAATACAATATCGGTAGACAATGTGAAGTTCCCAAACATAAACTCGTCATCATCAGCTTCATAAGAACCTTGTATGCTTTTCAAGTCAGTAAGATTTATCCACTCATTGTCGTGTAGATATATCGCCTCGTAAGGGTAAGGAGAGTTAGTCCCCTTTGAGAAAGTATGGTGGTAAAATGAAACCGGAGTTGTACAAACAGTCGAGAAATGAACGGAAGGTATTTTTCGTATGGACGAGGCAAGTTTTGGGGCCCACGGTTGGAACGAATCGTATATAAGCAAATCGGGTTTTACTGAGTTCATGATGTCTAAGAAGCTGGACTTTGATGTTTGGAAGGCCTTTATTAGGATTGGTAGAAGGTGGGGCGGCAAATTCTTGGTCGTGAGCATCTCGGGAGGAAGTTCGGGGGATGGTGGGATTTGGAGTTCGACTAGCTTGATAACATCATCGTAAGGTGAGGGTTTTCCGATGCTAAGCGTGATCGAATCAAGATTGACACGAGTCGAACATAGATAGATGGTGAAGTTACTTGTTGAGAGCCTTGGCAAGTTCAAGAAAGGGATAAATGTGGCCATGAGCTAACCATGGAAACATAAGAATTTTGAGCTGATGTTGTTCTTGCTCCATTTTAAGGTACTACAATTAGAGATTTGATTGTGATTATGAAAGATATGAAGCAAGAAAGAAAGAGAGGAGAGGATACATACAATTGTTATTGATTGATGACATTCAATTATAATGGAGTAATTTTGACTATTTTGATGTAGTTTAGTGGTGATGAACTTTCAAAGATCCCAAAGAAGATATCAAGTTTAAAGTTTATGCTAATTGGTTTTTGTTTATTCCTTTTTGTGCAGAGGTGTTGAATTATTGATATTCACACACCAACTCTTTGTTGAATTATTGATATTCACTACCTAAAGACAATTAAAAAAAAAAAGGAAAGAAAAAACTAGAAGTTAGAACATTTTTTTGTCTTAGGACTTTTAACGGCTTTGATTGACGATGGTCTTGTCGGCAATTAATTATTGCATTTACCGGAACAGTTTCTTTATGATACTCAGATCGGCTCGGAAGTGGAAGAGCTCGACATTTGCTGCTCGGTCAACTACTGATTGTCTTAGAAAACCTGTTATTCGCATATATATTAAATACATATTTTATAACCCTCGTTTATTTTTCCATGTGTCGTCAATCGTGGTCAAATTAGGTATCAACAAGGATTTTATAATTTTTTTTTAAAATCTCAAATGAATAACCCAAGACTTTTAAAAATCTTAAAAATTGAATACGTCGGGATTTTTAAAATATTAAAAAATCTTTAAAAATAAATATTAAAAAGTTTATAGAAATTTTAATTCAATACACCCTCCAATGTAATAACACAGTGTGACATTCATAAATAAAGAATTTTCAAATTTGCGTTATAGAGAGAATTATGACCTCAATTGAGGTTTTTTTTTAGCTTGTGCTGCTTTAACTATTTGCACTTGGCCCCTCCATCTTCCAATTATTTCGCATATTTTTTCAAAATTTATCACGTTGGCCACATTACTTTTCATTATTTCTTAAATGGCCTCAAACAAACCCCATCAATATTCAATACTAACCCCGGCAGTGTTAACCGCTAAACCCTCCCTCAACCTTCAAGTGCCCAAACCAAGCGCAAATTCAGTTAATTAAACAGAAAAAATTTGATCTCTAACAAAACTCTGTTTCACCGAACTCCAACTTGGTAACCGTTAAACCCTCAACCCTTCTCCTGCTCCTCACCATGCACCAAATGAAATCTTGAATCGAAAAGGGAAGATAATCTTGAAGAAAACCCCTTTCAAGAAAATGGCAGGTCCAAACCCTGATTCTCACTCGAAGAGGAACAAGAAAATGTCGAAGTTTTACGGGTTTCACAGCTTCGCGGAGGCAGGAGTCCCAGTCTCTCTCGACGGCGCGTTTCGGGACAACGTCCGGCAGTTTCTGCTACAGTGCGCCGAGCCGGAGGACTACAGCGTGGACGGCATGCCCGTTTGGTGCACGTTTCTGGTGTACGAGAGCAAAGGAACCGTTCTTCCCCTTTACACAGTTGAAGAAAATGTGAAGCATTCTGATAAACCCTTTTGCGAGTACTGCCGTAGCTCGGGTTCGTATGAGAAATTAAAACCAAAAATGGAGAACCCATATCTTTTTTTTTTGTCCTTTTTCTTTCTGTTTTAATTTGAATAGGGCTTTTGGTGGGGGTTTGGAATCGCATGTTTTGTATGTATTCTGTTTCTTTCTGTTTGGGTTTTTGGTGATTTGGACTATTTTCTGTGTGCGGCCGTGCGTGCACTGTGTGTGTGTGTGTGTGTGTGTTTGTGTGTGTGTGTTCTGATTTGTGCGTGTGTTTTGATGGGTGCAGGATGGAGCCATCATTTTGTGTCGAGTAGGAAGTATCGCTTGATAATCCCAGGGAATGAAGACTGGAATAATCCACTCGATGAGGGTGCTTTTGATCAACAGACGCATCTCTTGCATGGTTTGATTCACTGCAATGGCTCTGGGCATCTGATCTGCATCAATGGAGTTGAGGGGGGTTCCAAGTACATTTGTGGAGGAGAAATCATGGACCTGTGGGACCGTATCTGCACGACTCTTCAAGTGAGGTATGAGATAAAGAAGAGAGAATTGAATTATGTCTTTTTCATTTTCTTTTAATGATTGTGTATGATGATGTGAATTTGATACCCGAGCTATGCATAGAACGTTTTGAGAACCTTTCTGAGTCAGTTTGTTATTGATTTCTATCAAATTAAGTGACAAATGCTGTGAGGTGGTCGACTTTGTATTTCTTGTCGAATCTTATCTGATGTGTTACTTTACACTCATTTGATACTGCATAATGTACTCAAATAGGCATCAGTTTATGGAAATATATGGACATAGTCTGAAACTAATTTCATGTCTCTGGAAATTCTCATGTACTAGGGCATTTGTTCAAATTGGTAATCAATCTTATATCACAACTCAATTGTCAGTATTTCTCACTGATTTATGTTCTATAAGTTGAAGTGTAAGAAGTGATCCTTGAGTATTTGTTCCGTTTGCTGTAGGCAAATTTCAGTGGAAGATTTGTCTAGAAAGCATAATATGGACCTCCGCTTGCTACACGGAGTTGCTTACGGGCACTCTTGGTTTGGGAAATGGGGCTACAGATTCTCCCGTGGCAGCTTTGGGGTGAAGGAGCATAATTACGAATCGGCTATGGATGTTTTTAGTTCCCTTGGCCTCGAACAAGTCATGGATGATTTCAGTTTCACTAGTGAAAGCACACCCATCAAACAAATGATCCATCACTACAGAGGCATGAGCGAAACTAATCTGGTCACTATCCGGGACTTATTCCGATTTATGCTGACCCTGAAAACCAAACCTCCTGCCAGAAGGTGCTCGGTGACTCCCTTCATGAAACCAGCAAGGCCTGAGGAGAAGGAAACATCATTACCCACCTCCTTCAAGCAATGCTCGTTGAAAACTTCCTCCAGGCTCGCTGTCAGGCCCGACCCGCCCGGCAAAGAGAAAAAAACTGCAAAGTGCAGGAAGTTTTCTAATCTTGCTGCCAATATGGACTCCCGGTGGCCCGTCAGGAGGCTCCAGCATGTAGCAGAAGTCATAGTTGAGGCCTTGAGAGAAAAACGGGCCAAGAATAGGGCTGGTAGCTGTGGTATGACCAGACAGGAGGCACGGGATGCAGCCCGCGTGGAAATTGGCGATACGGGCTTAATCGACCACGTGCTGAAGGCGATGAACAACGTTATTGTCGGGAATTACGTTGTCTGCCGGGCAGTGAACAAAAGCACTAAGATCCTCGAGTACACCATTCACGATCATCACAAGGATGAGAAAAATATTTCCACCATAAAGACTCCAAACCCGGTTCAGGCAATCATGTTAACTCCCGGAAGAAGCGTAATCGATGACCTCAAGTTTTTGTACAACAGCGTGCTCCTTGGCTACCCGGATCCCGGGCCTGCAAAATTTGCGGCCCAAATGATTCTCTACAGCAAGCACTTTGTCAAGGAGTGGCCTTTCAGGGATGAGGATGACCACACGCTGAGATTCATCTGCAGGCTAACAACGAGCTCGTTCGATCTAATGGACGACATTTCGCGTGACTACCCGCCACGTGAGCTCGTGATCGTCCCACTCCACGCGACGCTTGGCGAACTCAAAATAGCCGTGCAGAATGCGATGCGAGACACATACTATGTTACAGAGGGATTAGTAGTGACAGAGATCCTGGAGACTGAAGGGGTGGAGGACGAGGAGGTACTATTTGGGCTGGTCGAATCGGGCCGGGAGATATGGGCGAGGGGATACGGGCTCGACATGGGGGAAGGTGGGCCGAAGTACGAGGGCGGGTCTGAGAGCTGGACGGTGAAGTGCAGGTGCGGGGCTCGGGACGATGATGGGGAGAGGATGGTATCGTGCGATATTTGTGAGGCGTGGCAGCACACTCTGTGCAGTGGTATTGAGGACTCGGAGGCTGTGCCCAGGCTGTTTGTGTGTGACTCGTGCTGTAGTACGCTTGCGCCCGAGCGGGTAGGCTGTGGTTTCATGAATGAGTATGATTCGTACGAGAATCCGATGACAATGATGATGATGCCTGAGGTTGACATGCGGCTGCTATACTAGGAATAGTTAATGGTCTGTACTTTTGGAGATGATTGCTGTAAGTATCTGTAGACTGGTTTTGGGGATAGAGGCACTTTTACTTTTTTCTTTTTTTGTTTACGGTGAGTATCTGTAGAGTGAAGTAAATGCTTCTGTGAGTAGACAAACATAGGATGCTTCTCTGATGTAAAAAGTTTGACTGGTTAGGTGCGCGTAGCAGGTATATGATACGGTTCGACAGGATATCAGGAGTTCTGTGTAGAAAAATGAAGCTGAAAGTTGGATGTGTTACTGCTTTTAGATGAATAATGAAGAATATATGTTTCGATGATGAATCTTTTGATTCTTTGAATAAAGAACAAGAAAAGTTACTGGGAGATGTGAATTTTTTTCATTTCCGTTTGAATTTTTCCTTGGAATGAAATGTCATCGAATGGTATTCACAGCCATTGTTCGACGTATCTTCGTGTACTGGTGAATACTCGGTGCTGTTAGAAGTTGATCTGGCATAAACATCTTGGTATTTTTTGTGTCTATTCTTGTATGCACTGATACAAGCACATACTTATGGGATTCAATTCCATGGCTTTTTTCTTAACTATCAGAGTTTTGAGATGTTTTGTTCATTGTTGCATGTTGTATCTTGCTGAACGAGAACTGAGAAGCAAATTAACATGCAGCCGGCTTAAGACATGAAGTCACCTTCCTCGTCGAACGTGGACAATGTCCACATCAGCACAAACAAAATCTCTTTCATAAAGTCCATGTTGTCGCTTTCTAGTCTAGAGGAAAACGGTCGACTCATGTTCTTTCTGGGTCCGGCCGGTTTGCCTCTCCTCGACCATCCATGAGAAAGTCATTGTGAAGAAACTGAAGAAAAATATACATTGTGCTGATGAAACATCCAACTTGCAATATACATGAGTTGTTAACCAAACAACTTGCAATAGCCAAACATCCAACTTAATCCAGTAATATACACAAACATAAAATCATCAGCTAGCAAAAGGGTTAAAAAGAGAAAACAAATCTGTACTAAGGCTTCCAAAATCTTCAACCTTAAAAAAACAATAAAAAAGGTATAAAAAAGAACCACAAGCCAAAAAAAGCTACACACTAAAAGGAACAGAACTCACCCAATCAACATCCCTAAAATAATAAAAACAAAAATTAAAATGAAAATCAAATCCAGCTCAACATCACACACTTTCTCCCACCTCACCTGCCGTCGGCTGACGTGAAGGACTCGGCAAAACCGAAGGGTCTCGTGGGTATGCTCGTCTGGGTATTGTCCAGGCTCGGCAGGTAAGACGAGGAAGACGAGTCCGCATGGGTTCGCCCCTCGAATGCCTGCCACTTCTTGAGAGCCTGTGGTAACGACATCTCGAGGTCAATTCCGTAAATGTCCTCCGGGCCCTGGTCAGACGATGGCATCCAGAGCTCAACCAGAGAGGAGAGCACGTTGACCGCGTGGCCCATATCAGGCCTCTGGTAGGGCTTGCGCGCGCAGCAGTAGCCCGCCAGCTCAGCAACCGTGCCAATGCTCGACAGGGTGTCGTCGTCGAGATCAATGGCGGGGTCCACAGCCTTCCGGAAGGCGTCTTTGTTGAGGTGCATGCGCTTGAACCATGTGACGAGGTGGATGCTCTCCTCGGGTTGCGTCTCATCCAGTTCCCGACGGCCCGTGATTAGCTCCATGAGGATCACACCGAAGCTGAAGACGTCAACCTTGGTCGTCACCCTGCCCGTCACTGTACAGGTGCAAAATTGTAAATGTTGGTCAACTCTTTTACATTCCTTTTAATTAAAAAGGATGTGGAGAGAGGAGCAGATGAATCGAAGGAGTAAGTTGAGTGTCCCAAATCGAACTATAGGTTCGATTAACAATGAACATTAAGCTTTATAAACAGTCTATTTGCATATGTATCCAAAACCATGTTCACAAAACAGTATAAAATCAATAGTTATCAGAATACTTTCAAAGAGTTCACTGTGCATCAACTGATTAAAGAGAAAAGTGATTGAACAAAGCAGGTATAAAGACAAAATAGCTTAGTTTAACACATATTGAGTTGCCTTGATAGCATAAAGAACATAGCACAGACATGCAACAAACTTAAGAATAAATTCCTTCACATCTCAATAAGCTGTTGAATGCAATAACAGGTCTCATGTGACCAGCAGGGGTTTATTCATCTAACAAACAAGGTGGTAGCTTTCACAAAAGCACCTCAAATCCAATAAGTCCAAGATTCCTGTAAAAAATACATATGAAAAAGTTCAAAAGCTCGACAAAAATAGTCTTACCTGCGTACTCAGGTGCAAGGTACCCGAACGTCCCAGCAATCCTCGTCTCAATTGAACCCTTCCCCTCCGGTGCAAGCCGCACGAGCCCAAAATCTGCCACCTTGGTCCGCATGTCGTCCCCCAGAAGTATGTTAGATGGCTTGAGGTCCCTGTGTATGAAGCTCTGGTGGGCCAGCCCGTGCAGGTACTCCACTCCTCTTGCCACATCCAGCGCTACTGTCAGCCTACTTGTCCACTCCAGGGGCCTCAGCCCTTCCTCCCCCCACCCGAAAAGATGCCTGCTCAACGTCCCCTGCGGCATGTACTCATAAATGAGCAGCTTCTCATTCCCATCCAGACAGTACCCTAGCAGTGCCACCAGATGCCTGTGCCGGACCTTGGTCAGGACCGCGATCTCGGATTTAAACTCTGCAGTTCCTTTCCACGCAATTACCCCACATTCCATTCTCTTGACCGCGATTTTGGTCCCGTCGTGAAGTTCCCCTCTGTAGACGGTTCCAAATCCACCCCTGCCGAGCACGTTATCCTCGCTGAAGTTATTGGTCACATTTCTCAGCACCTGTATCGAGATCACCATGTTCCCCGCCTCAACCATCTGGATATCGCCCGACTCGCCGGTGGGGCCCACGCTGAGGGCTCCCACACTCACACTGGACCCTGCCACCGTGATCTTCACACTGTCGTCATTGTCTGACCTACCCGAGTGGCGCGGGTGGACCACCATGGCATTCGGGCTCTGGACCCGAGTGAACCTCTTCTGCTTGCTCTTGTACAAGCACAAGGCAGCCAGCCCGATCAAGCAGAGGATGAATAGCCCTCCCATTACAGAGAATACAATGACACCTGTCATGTTTCGAGATTTCCGCGAGTTGGACTCAGAGCTTGGGCCAGCCATGGAGGACGAGGTTGTGGAGTTTGAGCTGGGTTTATCATGTCCGATGTTTGGGTTCCCGCTGGTTTTCAGGATTATGTTGGCCCTGAATGAGGGTATTTTTCCATAGAGATGATTGTTGGACACATCGAGCTCTGTTAGGCTCGGAAGAGCCGCAAGCCCGTCCGGGATGGTGCCGGTAAGGTTGTTGTTGGCCAGGACCAGTCTCTGGAGGGACCTTAGGGACACAAAATCAGGGGAGATGGTACCTGAGAGGCCCATGTTCTCGAAATTGACGATGGTTATGTTCCACTGTTGCAGGTGATTCCGAACCAATCGGCACATGGATCGTTTCCTTTCCAGTTGTCGGAGAATTTTCTCGGGTAGTTCATGGACTTTACAATCGAGAGGAGAGTGTCAACTCTAGGGTCACAATTACCGGGCCGTGGCAGGCAAAACCTATTCGTGTCTTTGGTGTCTACCGAGACTGAATCGTTGAACTTCGGCATTGGTCCTTGGAGCAAGTTATTCGTCAAGTTAACGACTTTTAGGGACTCGAGATTCAGTAACAACTCGGGAACTGGGCCTGTGAATGAATTGTCTCGCAGACTCAGAACCTCTAAGTTCTTCAAACCGGAAAAGTCGGGCAGAGGACCTGTGAACCCATTAGAGTGCAGCCAAGCCTCTTTCAAGAACATCATGTTTTGCAACACATCAATCGTTCCACCTGGGACCCGGACAGAGCCGGTGGCAGCTCTCCCACCAAGTTATTGAGAGCCAAAAATGCAAGGTAGTGAGGCCCGGAAATGCATCCGGGCCGAAAAAGGCCGGGATAATGCCAGTAATATTCGCGGAATTTGCCGAGAAATTCTGAAGGACCGAAGCATTTCTGAGGCTCTCCGGTATTTGCCACGCGGAGAACGGGTTATCATCGATCTCGACCGATTGCAAAGAGGACATGCCGGAGAAAAAATCAGCAGGGATAGAACTGAACTTGTTGTCACTAAGCATTAAAACTTGGAGAGAATCCAAACCAATTAAACTCGGCAGAGACCCAGAAACGTCGTTCCATTGAAGCTCCAAACGCTCAAGCTGAGTGAGAGAGGAAAGCTCATCGGGAAGCGTACCTGCGAGGTTCTGATGCCCGATTTGAATCCGGGTGACCCGGTTCTTCAAGCAGTAGACATGGTCCCACTTGCACGGGTCCGGGTCAGACCACAGGAGTCCCTCCGGCGGGTTGAGGCTTTTCTTGAGAGCAAACATGACTCAGGCGTCGCCATTAGAGCCGGGCTGTGAACTAGAAAACGAATAAAATACCGAAAATAGAGCCGGTCCAATTATGACATGGGTAGCAACATTG